ATTACTAAATAAACCTTAAATATCAATTGCAGATTTTTTTACATTTAGTGACTTTACTAAGTTAACTTACATTATAGCCAAAACGTAAATACTTGCATTGATTTTAAATCCAAGATCATTTCAATGCTTTCAACGCTCGTGTTTGGGCTGAGATTTCACATGAATGAACAGAACTTGTTGCATATTGTGTTGAACCTTATTCCTGGTTACAAAAATTGAGACCTGCATTGTCATTTCAGTTACTTATTGGAATTAAAAGTTTTCTAGGACTCATATGATCACAAACTAATGGTCACTGCATAATGAATTTATTTTCCCTTTCATGCATAATATATTTGAATTTTTATTCAACGCAAAAACTTTTTTGTAAACTTATAAAACATTTTTTTTATTGAATCTTGTAATATGAATGTGTAGTAATAAATTAACTGGAATAATTTTTATTTCAGTTTTATTAGGTGGTGTGCAATTATATCAGTATCCAAACCTCTTTTCCTCATTTGATGTTAAGTCTCGAAATCGCAATAATATTTTAAGGTGGAGAAGCGGTCCAGCTAAGCGACATCGTTGCAGCTTGTGTCCATATTCGACAAACAACTCGAGTCATCTTCAAATTCATCTAGTTACTCATACGGGTGAACGTCCACATAAGTGTACTAAATGTGGTAAAACATTTTCCCAAAGAAGTAGTTTGCGACGTCATATCATGTGCCACATCGATCTTTCCATTGAAATTTAAAGAATTTACAAATCTGTGTTAATACATTCCCAAATATTAACAATTTTTTTAATTTGTTTATTGATATAAATTAATATGCTTCTTGAAAATAACTAAAAAGCAAACAATTATATTTTCTTATAAAGCAGCTATATTGAGATCTCTTGGATTGGAAATTTTTTAATACATTTTATTTTTTATCAAACAAGAGGTAAAGACTAAAATTGTGTTTCCCCCCTTGGTATGAAAATGCAAAAAATCACTTAGATATAAGTTTTTTCTTTTTTAATTTCCATTATATTTAATTTGTTCTTGCTTTGCTTCTGAAAATTACAGATTTAAAAGTTAATATGTATAAAAAACTTTAAGTAATAAAGCATGGCTTATACTTTCAATACTTTTTTATTAAATTTAAATAGCTAGCAACTAATGTGAATTATTACATGTCATTGCTTTCAAGTTACTACTAATTAGGTCACAAGTATCTTAATTATTTAATGTTATTAGTTTAACAGAATTTTAAAGCAATTAAAATGTTTTACCAAGTATGTGTTTCAAAGTATGGATTTAAACAAAATTTATATTTTTACGTGTAGCCTTTTCATGTTTGAATACTTGTCTTATAATTTTGAAGTGCCGTAGGAATATCAGAAAATGTATCAATTCAACAAATATAAGATGACTATTATACAAAAACATAATCATATTTTAGGACATTAAAAATTTTAAAACTTGTGATAGTTTTTAAAGATTGCATTTTAAAATCTTATAACATTTTACATATCAATAACCATGGATAGATAATATTGTTAAAATATTTAATACCTAAATAAAAAGAAATTGCTGTACAGCTCCGTTTTTGACCTTATACAACAATATTCCGCTATGCTATTTTTGAATATTCACAATATACTTAAATCTAATGCCAACAACAACAAAAAAATCGATCACCAAAGATTCTGTCAAAGTCTGTTGCAAGATTTGCTGCAACAAGCTACTGACTTTTAATCAGATTTGAGCAGGGTTTGAAAAAACCCGGGGATTTTTGAAAAAACCCAACCCGCCTGGGTTTTATTGAAAAAACCCGGGGAAAATTGGGTTTTATTTGAAAAAACCCGGGGAAAATTGGGTTTTTTCATTTAGTGCTCATAAATTTTACTGTGAAAATATTTTTATTTATTAAATAGTGTTGTATAAGTAAACACTAAAATTTCATCTGACTTTTACCTGTAATAAAATTAAACTGGAATAAATATTTAATGGTCTTCAATGTTTTTATAATACGATTAATANTCCCATAGCTTTCCATGAACCTCTTCAATGATTGTAAACATTACATTTTAACATCTAATTTTAATAAAAAATTAAGAGTATTTGTCAGACTTAAATAAAGAAAAATATAAAAGTAAGCTTATGTTTAATTTGAAGTCTATGAGTCATATGTTTAGTTGCTGAGTAAAATTCATTCAAATTTAGTTACCTGGGCTTAAATATGTAAAAATAAAAAACAAAAAGAGTCTGGCTTCTTTCTTATGTGCTTTGTTACTTAAAGTGAAAATTCTATGTATTTTTTTTAAAAATTAATTATAAGAAATTATCTCTTTAAAATTCTTTAATTTGATCTGAGTATTAAATCATTTCTCATAGAAGTTGTATATTATGAGAAAAAAATATTTTTTAAAAATTAGAAAATAATTAAACCTGTTGCTTTAATTAAATTTTTTCTGATAGAAAATTAGTTATAGTTGTAATAAAATACTAATGAATGATAACTGTATTGAAAAATAAACTTAATATTTGTTTAAAAAACATATATATTGTCAACATAAAATTGTGTTATTTTTGTCACAAAATTAAAATGTAATAGCAAGTTAGAACTTGCCATTCATTTTTATTGACTAAGAATAATTTTTTTAACTATTCTAATTGATTATAGCATAACTCAAAAATAAGTATTTGCAAAACTAATAGGTATGTATTATTTAATTTCATTAAAAAACGTAATTTTAATATGTTAAAATTTTATTAGAAATAATATTTAAAGGTACATTTTTGTAAATTCGAGATTAAATCTATCATGTTTTACAAATTTTATGATTAAATTTTATTTTAGGAACTAATCACTCTGTTTTGAAATTTAAAACTTGAATTGAAAGATCCCAGTTTGCTTTGTTACATGCAGATAATTTTATAGCAATATATTCACATAATTGCCAGTGCTGTAAATAAAGCTGAATTTTACATTTAGAAATAATATGCACTTGTACCTCAGGATTTAATATGTTATTCATATATAAATAAAAATTTATTTCATTAAAATTTCTTTGTGTAGAGTCGTATGTTTTAGGAACAAGTTTATATTAATTATTCCGGCCTCAAGTATTACACATTTTATTTTGAATATGTTGTATTCTAATAAAAATAAATAAATTGTTATATGTGATACATTTTATGAAAATTTATTGTTTCATATGTACATATTTAAAAAAAAATTATATGTTCTTTTAATTTATAAATTTTGTTTGTTCTGACTTTAAATGTTCTGCAATTTTTATCTTATCTAAATAGTTGGACCTTTTTTTCTTTTGTTGCACAGCATGTGCTTCCATTTTTCTTTTAGACTTGTGTAGTTTCTTTATAAAAGTATGTATATGTAGGAAAAACATTGTGATGACATATAATGTCATCAATTTAAATGCAGGAACCTAGTATTTGTTAAGGAAATGCTGTTTCAAACAGATATTTGTATTTAAAATAATTTGGTTTTGTGTATCTGCTTCTAAAGCAAAACTTTTTCTCAGGGCAGAATGCATAAAATGTAGTGGAAGTAGAAATTATTTCTATTATATTTATAATCTTTAACCAATAAAGTTTTTTTCAATAATCTGTATTTTTTGATTGAATGGCTTAAAAAAAAACACACAAGGAAAAAAAAAACTAACATGTTATTCCCAGTTCATTTAAAGGGTTTAGTTATAATGATAAACCACATTTTCAGACCTTAAGATGTTTCTGTGTATTGTGCAGTAGTGTCATGAAAATGTATTAAGTACTCATTTTGCAACAATAGTAAGGAACAGTTTAAAGTAGAAATACCACCTTTGAAAATATCAAAATTATGTTACTTTTTTAATATTATTAATTATATTTCAAATATATACAATTAATTTTAAAGTTGTAACTTTTTGACGGTGGGAAAAACCTGTAGTGTGTCTACCACTACAAAAATACGATTTTAATTCACTAATATATAAAACATGTTAACTCGATTCTATGTTGGGGTATCTTTTATTAGATGAATGTTGACATTATCGATATGACTCTCCACACTATCTTTTGGTCAACTAAACTAAAATTTGTATTTTTTGTCTGAATTAAATTACTTCGTTAAAAACATACAGCTCATCATAAAGAAGGTCTTTCTTTCTGAACAAGTTTTTTTTTTATTTTTAAATTATGGTTTTGGAATCCCCATTTACTATAGCATATAAGCGTTGTAGCAGAAAAAAGGTATATCATCCAAAAATCAGAACAATTTATAATTTTTTTATTTATTGTAGATATAGCATTTTTTATTTTTTCAATTTGTGATGTTAGACAGATTTTGAACACACATTAGGGAGACTCGGCAAGTAATGTTTAAAACTAAAAAAGAAAAATTTAAAACAAAAGTCATAAAATGGTTTTAATGAATTGAAATTTAATAGTACGCACTTAATGACAATAAGTTTATAAGAAACCACATTCTTTAAAAATTATAGCACTGGAATTCACTAATCGCACATGACAGCAACTTTAAAATCGGTAAGAGTCTACTACATTTTGCTATTCAATCAACCTCACAAAGGTTTAAATTTAGGGTTAAGCACAACCATTTAAAACCACCTTAGACGTGCAAGGTGTAATCTGATTTTGTCTGGTCAGTAGAATAGTGATAACAGTTGCAATACATATTCACCTCTACAACTGCCCACTATTTACAAGCACCAAGTTTGATCTCGCTTGTAGTTAATATCATTTATAAGATTTTCAAACACATTGCTTGACCACTCTGTATTTAGGTTATTTATCCTTGATTAAAGTTATGAAATAGTACAAATGTCTAATTAAATTTTCTTTATTAATTTTGAATATTTTTAATCAGGGGTATAAAAAGTTTGAGTAACTGTATTTTCATACATAAAATTACTAAAAACAAAATTTAAAAACGCAATCATCAAAAAACTACTGAATTAACATCAAACACCTTTTTTTTAAAAAGAAATTACTTAAGAGAAAAAACTATAGTAAATTCATTTTATTTACAATAAGAAATGTAACATAACTTATTAAAACATAATTTAATTGACAATGATTCCTAAATATACAGATGTTACCACCATTTCTCGTACCTAATATTTTCTTTTTTTATGCCCAAGTTTAAAAGCCAGCCAGCAACATCATCAGTCATAGTTGATGGACCACAAATATAACACAAAGTTTTACCTGTTTCTAACTCTTTCACTGAATCTGCAACATTTTCTTTCTTTATTCTTGAATCTAAAAAAAAAGAGACATTAACATTACCAAAGATTAAAGCAATATTACTCAGGTTAAATCATAAATCTCCGAATGTTGAGCTTAGCTAAGGTTTTTTAAAGCAACACAAATATCTATATAAAGCTTTTCCTTCAGTTTTAAAAGCATTTTTTTAATAATAATGCAACAACAAAATACAATGTCGTTTAAAGGATAATTACTGTTAAATTTGCTGATTACTGATTTTTTAATAATAATGCAACAGCAAAATACAATACCATTTAAAAGATAATTACTGTTGAACTCACGTATGAGTCCAAAAGGACCACAATATTTGCTCATTTACAACCAAATGCTTGAAAGAAAGAAAAAACAGTTGGTGAAAAAAATAAATAAAAGTTCATACATACATAGTACTTCTTTTATTTCTGTATAGTACAAAAGTTAATTTGCTTGAATTGTATTATTGTCTCTTTACTGTGTCATAAAACATAGTCAACATCTAAAAGAAATTTTCCCATAGCTAAGATGGAAATAGGTAGAAATTTAATGAATCCCAGAAACATTGCTTGTTAAAAATGGGGATTAGGTACTTGTTAAACTTGAGCTATGCTCCAATAAAATTAATATTGTACCTTTTCAAATTTCTTCATTAAAATCGGGATCTCATTAAACAGGGCTCTTTATAAGTGAGTTTGACTGTATTCACTTATGTAAAGATTTTCCAATGAGAAAAAGACTAATGGTGAATAATACTTTTTTTTCTCATTAATAATAACTTGATAATATACTTTAAGTAAAGTGTGATATCGTATAAGTTTTTCTAAAATATCTTGTAACTTTATCTTTTTTTAAAAATCAAAGGACTGAAAAAGAATTAATGCAGAGATCTAACACAAAATATTAGGTGCTCAATGTAAAGAGAGTTTTTTTTTTTCCCTTTTCAGAATCTTTTAAAAACATTTCTATGATTGTTTGTACTACTTAAAACTCAATTTCGGCCGCAACTTATTCAACCATTTACACATATATATTTTTAAAATTCTATCTGGGAAGGAGAAAAATTAATGTTATCAATATTTGAAGAAAATTAAAATTACATACTTTATAACAAAAGGATTGAGAGCATTAATTGTTAAGAACATCAACAGCATACCTGCTGAGTAAAAAATGTACTGCCTCAATTCAGTACAAAAGGATTCAGAGCATTAATTGTTAAAAACATCAACAATATACCTGCTGAGTAAAAAAGGCACTGCCTCAATCCAGTACAAAAGGATTCAGAGCATTAATTGTTAAAAACATCAACAGCATACCTGCTGAGTAAAAAAGGCACTGCCCTAACCCAGTACAAAAGGATTCAGAGCATTAATTGTTAAAAACATCAACAGCATACCTGCTGAGTAAAAAATGTACTGCCTCAATCCAGTACAAAAGAATTCAGAGCATTAATTGTTAAAAATATCAACAGCATACCTGCTGAGTAAAAAAGGCACTGCCTCAATCCAGTACAAAAGGATTCAGAGCATTAATTGTTAAAAACATCAACAGCATACCTGCTGAGTAAACAATGTACTGCCTCAATCCAGTACAAAAGGATTCAGAGCATTAATTGTTAAAATCATCAACAGCATACCTGCTGAGTAAAAAAGGCACTGCCCTAACCCAGTACAAATGGATTCAGAGCATTAATTGTTAAAAACATCAACAGCATACCTGCTGAGTATAAAATGTACTGCCTCAATCCAGTACATACTTGTTTTTATTTAATTATCAAGGATGAACTAACAATACTCTTGCATATAACAAGATCCCAACAACATATCTATATATTTTATGATTAATGTTGATGAGCAAAAATTGAGACACATGCATATTTGGGTATGTTGATTTCAATCTGTTGCATTCAAGTTCATAAGACAAATGTTGAATTTGATTTTGTTTCCTAATATATATATATATAGTAGATTGATTTGATAAATACCTTTGCGATATTAAATAGTTATCCTAATTTTAGTTACTATAGCATCATTTATTAAAATTCTTAACAAATCAAAAGGGTGCCCTAGAGGCACCATCATTATTTTTACATAAGTTATTTATTCACATTTTTAAAATAATAAAATTAGAATGTCTCGTTATTTATTTAATAAACAATGTCTTAAAACAATAAACAAATTTTAAATAAAACTATAACAGATATTTTCATTTTCTATTGCAGTTAATAAGCAAAGAAATGAAACACTCACAAATTATACCTGGGGAAGGTATTACTTTTGGTTTTGTTACAAAATATTGGCATATCAATGTAGGATGTTCTTTCTCTATTATGCTGAATTTATCCTGAAAATACATAAAAAAATACATCACATAATTGTTTTGTTTTTTTATGATAACACTTATTAATTAACCAGCTCAAACTAATTTTATTTTATGTATTTAAATAATTTTTTAAATCAAAAATTGCTATAGATTATTTTTGAAAGAAATATAAAATAAACCTGCATTCTTTCATGTGAAAAACGAATACAAAAGATTTAAATAATGATAAATGCACAACAAATTATGTATGTAAAATATAACACTTAACATATTATTATACATAATACTCTTTTTAATTAACGTATTTTTTTAAATGTGTACAATAAACAATGAAACTACTACCAACATTATGCCTAAAGAATAAAAATATCAACAGACTGTAACCATTTAAATGATTTATTTTACAAAATTTGAATGCTAAGCACTGTAAAATGGAAATATATTTTTTGCTGAATTAATATAAAAACCAGTTGGAAAAAAAACTTTCAAAACTACAGGTCGTTTTTAAATATTACACTTAGCAATTTGCAGTGATTTTATTCTGAAAAGAAATTTTTAAAGAATAATGTCTGAGATAATCACTTTCCAAAATTCTATTTTACACACTTTCCTCTCTTTTCACTTCTAATTTGATAATATTAAAACAGACAGATCTTGTTGAAGTAAAATAAACTGTATAATACTGATCCTTTTAATAATTTATATAACTAACCAAATTAAAAACCGAATGAGATACTTTGTTGTTTACAATTTAAGAAAAAATATTATTTCAACAAATTAAAGATTAAAACAAAATTATAGCTCTCATTACATTGTTTTTCCTATTAGACATAATTAAATTTTGATTATAAGATAAGATTTGATATGTGTTCTTCATGAAGATAAAAATTTTTGTGTACACATAACATTAGATGGATTTAACAGTCATTAACTTTTAACTAAATGAATGGAAGTTACTAAATTTTATGCTCGCTTCAAAAATTTACGATTTTTTATTGTTTTTAAACAAAGAAGTATTTATTTCTGCATGCATAGTATTTCATTTAGTTCAAAATGTAATGCATATTGACTATTTATTCTTTTAAATATTGTAAGAAAAAGTAATATATTAAAGAATAGCATTTCACTATCTACAATAACATTTAGCTTTTAATGTATCCAACCAACATAAGTAACTGGAATAAATAAATACAAAATGAATATTTAAAACAAAAAAGCAGTAAAAGAAAAAATTATCATACTATTCTTAAATAATGTCCTTGGAAATAAAATATTTAATAACTTCTTATAGTAATAAAAAAATAAGAATTGAAGCATACAATACTTTGAGCATGCAATTAAATCATTATGGAGACATCATTTGTTACAATAAACTTAAAATTATCATACCACTACTCAATATGTCAAAATTGCTTTGGTAACAAAAAACTTCAGTTTCAAATGTTTAAAAAAAAAACGGTAAATGAACAAAAGGATTTAGATTATCATTAACATTTTATCCAATTAAGCAAAATAAGATTTTAAGGGATGGTACTGGTATCTATCTATTTAAGCAAGGAAACAGTTTTCTAAACAGTTGGTGAATATGAGTTGGTGTTTAAAACAGATGGTCATTCCAGTAATGGAATATATTAAACGATTTGTGCCACACGTCTGAAAAAGTTTTTTATATGTATTGGGTACATAAAATTTATCTTTTTTTTAATGAGTGGTACGTATGTGATTCTTAGAATCAAAATTTAATTACGTTATATATGAAAAGCAATGTAATGAGAGTCAGAGAATAGTGAGAGATATGAATACATAGATTGGAGATTTTTTCATAGAGTTGGGAGGTAAGAGATTTTCTGATGTTGCTGTAATGCCCATACTAATCAAAACTATTTTTTGTAAGAGTTTATTGGAAAAAATTAATGCAAAAATCAACTAGTGAAAAAAAATGTATACTAATATATGCACAAAATAATAAACAAAGTGGAAAATTCTCACCCGAAATACCAGCTCTTCTTCAGTTTTTGCACTGTACAACAAATGAACTTTTCCAGGGCGGATTGAATTTTCTGACTGAAACTGGGAAGCCAAGAGTAAATCTCTGTATTCATAAAGTATTGAAACTAAGGGATTTATGCCAACTCCTCCACCAATAAGTAAAAGATCGGCTTCAGCTTCATCCCTATTTGAGAGCGGATCATAATAAAAGTCTCCTCCAACTCTTATTTGAACTTCCTGTCCTGGGCAACACTAAATTACAACAAATATTATTACAGCGATCATATTTTTGTTATTGTTAAATCTATTAAATATTAAAATTTTAATCATGCAAAAGTTAAAAGAAAAAAAGACAGGAGTTTATGTAACACATTTGGAAAAAAATTTCTGGATATAAATAGTTAAAAATAAATCAACCGATTATAAATTATGCTAGATATCAGGAATTGGGCCGAATTTCGATAATTTAGTAGTACATGCGACACCGATGAAAGATCCAGCAAACAGAAAAAAAGTTATCAAAAATTTCATCAGATCAAAGCTAATATTAGAACATGAAAATTTTCTCATTTAATTAGACTGACGATTGTTATTAATCTATAATCATTGTGTTACTTTTTTCTTATTTAGAAGAAGCAAATTTTGGCATTTTTACTAGGCAAATAACAATTTTTCCTTCACAACTTTTACTAAGTTTGGTATTAAAAAGGCTGGGTAAAAAGCTATTTATTTATTGATAATACTTAGATTAAAAACTTGCAAAATGTAAAATATCTGAGGAGAGGAAGAAGTGGAAACTCCTAATGTAAGTAAAGAATTATTATGCCGTGTTAATCGAAATTCAAATTTATTAATAAAAATTGCATTTAATAATTAATTAATTGGAATTAAAATTTACCATGTCTTTAACTTATAAAATATAGAGAGCAAAATAAAACATATTCCTTTATTAAGCAGTAGTAGAGTTCTGCATAATGGCACCGTTATAAACAAGTGTTCTCCAAGAGCTAATGTGGAGCTTGACAAAAACTTCATCCTCACATTTTTCTCAAAGCATTAATTTTTTCTTTCATAAAAATTTTGCCACATTTTCAACGGTCAGACTGAGTGGCCATCGAACATCCAAAAGCCCTCAGTCCTACTACCAAGAAATTCAAATAACCAGCAAATGTGTATTTTCTAACATACTAACAGACATTTAAGAGCATGCTAAGAGACCCAAAATTTGGTAAATTATCAATAGATAATACAATCAAAGAGACCATTAGAATTTAATAAAATCCTGAAGCCGAAACATTGATCCGAGAAATTAAGCAGCTTAAAGAAAAATAGATTTTGATATTTGATTTGTTGCGACACTGGATTAATGAGTTATTCAATTGTAATGAATTAAAAAGTAAGCCTTTGCATTGATCGTTAAGAAAGAAAAAAATTATTTATATTCCCTTTTTATAAAATGTGATAGTAATTAAATCAATTAAAACAGGATAAAGAATGATTAAAAAACTAAATTCATGAAATTAAAGAAAATTCAAAAGCTAGGAAATGCATGATGCCTATAAAGGCATCACAGGAATATGCTAAATCTACAATAGGAGTAGAATCGCCTAATTAAATGGTCAACAAAAGGACATCTTAACTCTCTTTTTAGCCAGATTCAAAGAGCTAAAAAGAAATAAACACATACCAAGCTTTTGTCTATTTTCTGTTATAAACAAAACAAAAAAAAAATTTTTACAAATTGTAGCTGATGTATGTGAAACAAAATTTTAATATGAAGAATAGAAACTGCAATGAGTGGCTCTAGCTAAGTCAGATACTTTGAAGCTGGCTGAGTAAGACATAAAAATTTTCGGTAGAACTGAAATGACCTCAGATAAGAAATTTGGATAATTTAGACCATGTATATTATTATTACATTCAATTATAATCTATTATGAAATCAAGAGCTTGTGCTTTAATAAATAGTAAACATATAAGAGAGAACATATTTATAAAAATTACGAACTTTCCATGAAACTGAAATTACTTTTATTTCTTTATAATTTATAAATTACAGGCATTTTTAAAGATTAAAAATTACTTAACATTTCAGAATCATTACTAAGAAATTAGATGCCCTTGTTAGAGGAAAATTTTTCTTAAAATCAGTAATTTATTATCTATAAATGAAACACTAACTAAAAAAAAATTAAAATTTCTAAAAAAATATATACACTTCCCCTACAATAATGGAATAGACACTTTCAGTTTTTGACATTTTTAGGGAGCTTAATGTTCTTCTCTACAAAAATAATTTTTTTATACAGGCATCTGACATGTGCCAAACATTCTATCTATACTTAAGATATGTTTTTTATTTAAAGCATGATAAATAAAGTTTAAATTTGCATACATAATTATGAAGCCAGTGTGTTGGAGGAAATTTTCCATATTTCACTGAAAGTTCTAAAATGCCCTTTTCTTTTGCTTCATTCGGAGGTGATGTCATGCTATAACCAGTGACTTCTAAAATACCAGGCACATAGAAATCCACCCTATACACACAATAGACATTAAATAAGATTAAATCAATAATTTTATTTTTCAAAATATTTTACAAGTGAGTTTATAATATTTTGGGTTGGCATGAAATTACTTTCGGTTTGCATTAGTAGCATGGCTTTAAATTTATTTTATTTTTTTCGTTGTCAATGTTAGAATTTTTTTTCTTTTGAGACTCAGTAGTTAATGCCTTAAAGTTGCTATATAAATAAATTTTGTTTGAAATCGATAGTTTAAGATTGATTTTAAGCATTTTTGGCACATTTTACTTTTTTATTTTATAGAGATGAGACAGTGGCTGAAGAGATACGTATAATTCATGGTGTTAAGTGTTTAACAGAAAACATATGTCAAAATTGGTTTAAAAAAATTTCATTCTGAAGATTTTTTACAGGGCCGATGTTTTGGGTAACTTTCTGAAATTAATGCATACAACAAAAAAAAACATAATTGAATCGAATAATCAGATAACTGAGTGAAAGATTGAAAAACAGTTAAATGCATCAGACACAATGATTGAAAATTGTTGTGTCTTATTAAGAAAATAGTCTCGGACTTATTTAGAAACTCAATATTTGTGTTACGCGCAAATGAAAGCAATTCAAATCAGACAGCGAAATAATATTTGTGAGACACATTTAAAATGTAATGCAGTTGACCTTATGTATTAAGCAAATTATCATTGGCATTTAAAAATGAGTCGCTTACGATAATGTTAACCAAAAAAGATCATGGTCTAAGCATGATGAACCAATATAAATTATATCAAAAGCGGAATTCCATCAGAAAATGACCTTGCTGTCAATTTTGTGGGACTACAAGGATGTTATATACTACAAACAACCAGAGTTGGCCTTTGATTACAGTAATCGATTACAACTGTAATTGATTACAGATAATTACAGCTATACATGATAATCACGATTACAAGTAATCAATTACTTGTAATCGTGATTCCAAGTAATTGTGATTACAAGTAATCACAACAAAAATGATTACAAGTAATTATGATTACAAGTAATCAAAATATATGATTACATGTAATTTGATTACATGTAATTTGATTACATGTAATTGTGATTACTTGTAATCAAACTATACGATTANAACTTAAAAAAACTGCACTACTTAATGCACAAGCATTTTCACTCTAATGGTTAAAATAAGATATTACCATTGCCCTGCTTTAAAAGAAAACCCTTTTTCCTCCACATAAAGGCGGGCTATTTTTATTGTTGGAGAGGCATTTTGTATGCTTTTTACAACAGCTGTGTAGATCTTCTATAATATAAGGACAAACTTAAAAAGACAGAATAATTAAATACACATACAACTACTTATTACAGAGATAGAAGTTTATACCTTCAAAAATACAATTTAAAATCGAATGTGTTACCTGCCTTTTGTCGGTAAACATTTGGAGACATACGAAAATCTGCCCTACTGGAAAACTTGATGGATTGTGCACAAAATTGTCTGCAAAGGTTGTATATAAATTAATAATATAAGAAAATAATTTTAATATTATATAAAAATAATATATTATTACAAACAAAAAACTTTTGTTAGAAAAATAAATAATTAAAAAAATAAATAAAATAACTCCAATACTTTTTCTGAGTGAATGAAATATGGCCAGTTTTAAACTGCTATTAACATTATTATATACTGGGTGCAGTGGCATAGTTTTATTGTATATTTGGAGGGGTTACGCCTTTTGACAAATATACATATACCTGCCAACTTGTATAGTCGTTGAAAAAGATTTTACAAAGTGGTTGTAAATGAACAAGTAAAGTTGGAAAGATTCTTTAATAATTAAACATTTAAGAGCTAAGTAAGCTAACAAATAGATCATATTTATATATTTTTTCATTACTGATTTGTTGTGGTAGGTTGAATTATTATTATTTTTTTTTTTAAACTTCAAAGTTGAAGGTTTAATACGTCTAACTACTAAAATGCTGTTACTACTAGCAAGTTCCTTTCTCGGTGGTCGCACAAGTGAGCAAGTTATATATACATTCTAAATGTTTAAATCAAGAGAAAAATGAAATTTTTTTATGTCAACATCTTTCTTACCGAACCGAATAGCCCATTAGTCAAGTAATTTATAATTTCGGAGGAGATGTCCCATAAAAGCCTCCCCAAAACTAAGCCACTGACTGGGTGTCATAATAATGCCTGATGGAGATGGAATCAATTTATAAAACAAATGGTATAAATGTATGGTTGATGGCATTATGCTTGAGCTACTAGGAATTTCATCCCATTAAATTGCACATTTAGTAAACTACCTGCCAATAAGTGCACTGAAGATATGCGAGAGCTGCAAATAAATTTCACCTGTGATATCCCCATTTGACATTTGCCAAGAAATGAGTTAGTGAGAACTTATGAAGGATTTTGATGGGGTTTACATATTAAAACAGTGGATGCTCATGCAGTTATTCCAATTCTGCAGTACCACCTATTAGTGGGAAGTTTAACTATATTAGTAATTTGGTGGGATGAAATCCCTTCCCAAGCATAATGCTATAAAACATAGATTTTATTGTATTTTTGGGACACCGAGTATAAGCTATAGCTGATTGTAAACCCTAATATTTTATACAACACATTTCAAGGTAAAATACAAGTAACAAATCACTTTGACACAAGTTTGTTGCTAAAGAACAAATTAAAACTTAGGAACATTTTTTTTCCCAAACTGGTTATTCAAAGGAATGAGTGGTTAAAATTTTAAAAAAAACCGTTAAATATTATTATTCAGCAATTCAATTACAGTTATGTAAAAGTAAACATTAACATTCAATTTGAAATTGTAAACAATTAAGAATAAGTTCTTTATTATTGTTTCAGTATTACTGCTGATTCAAGCTTTTCCTACTCTATTTTGCCCCCTAATTGTTTTTAAAGTTCTAAAAACCTTAGCTTTATTTCTATAATTTAAAAATGTTGATGCATAAAATAGAAATAAAAAATTTATTTATTATTTTTAATTTAATTCACCCAGGACCAAACTAAATGCTATTGAATTTCGCATCACTTTCACAAATTTCTGTAATAGCTTGCATATTCATATAGTTTACTCCTTGTATCTTTGTTATACAGGATATTCAAATATGAAACTAATCAATATCATCCTGATATGTAAGAAAAAGTTAAAAATATCTTCAGATACAGGTTCATTTATCTTTAAAGTAACATTTATTATTTGCTCATTAATGAATTTTTATAAAATTTATGAATGCATCACATTAAATTACATTTGCTTCAAATCCAGGATGCGTAGACAAATTATTCAACAAAAAATAAGTACCTTTTAAGCACTCAAATCATATTTTTAAGCACTTTAAAAGAATATCAGAATTAGGCAGGGTTGGAAAGTTTTTGACAACTGACGGTTTTATCTTATTTTAACCGTCATGTAAAAAAACACAACCTTTTGGCATTGTTTTTTAGATTTATCAAAAATCACGAAATTTTGAATCATGTAAAACGAATGTAGTTTTCATGCGCTACGAACTGACAATAAGCAAAATAGATTTGGGTTGAATTAATTGTGAAAACGTTGAATAGAACAATCAGAACTGTATCTTTTTGCGTAATTTGAAGAGAAAATCAACATAGTAAAGGAAAAATCTCATTTTGAAAAAGGGAAAATTAAGCACTATTTAAAAATACCCAATGAAAAAAGCACCTATAAGGGCTTTTTTAAAAAATAAGCAACTTTTAAAAACGCTTCGCACCCTTCAAATCTATTCAATTAACTAAAAATGTGCAGAAAAATGAGCAAAAATTTGAATTTCAAATAGCTAAATTATTTACATATTTCAACCTGCAAGAAGTTTAGTTTACTTCCTAAAAAACTTTTTTATGCTATAATAGTTGTGTGTTTTTATAAAAACTCATTTTAGTACTAAAATTACAATTTATTATGTTTTGCATTATTATTATCTAATTTTAACTACAACAGTTAAAAAATAAGAATAATATTTAATTGTAATGTTAACTAACAGGACTTGAGTTTAGGAAGAAAAAAAATTTTCATAGCAATTTTTTTTTTAAATTTGTAAGAAAATGTAAGATATGTATCTAAGATAATGTATTTAATTTAGACATCACTTTTATACTTGGAATATGCACTGAAGATGGATACATTATCTCAGATATAATTAATTGATATTAAAAACTTAAAAAAACTGCACTACTTATAACATAAAAAATTTACATTTTATGACATGAAAAAAATATAGCATAGGCAAAATTAACATATTGGTAATTTATGCTTCATAATTTTGTTTCATTTAATCTAACAAAATTACCTAGAAGCAAAACAGAATAAGAAAAACAGCGACAGACGAAATATAAGCTAAATGTCCAAGGGAAAATTAATTTTTCGAAATTTATGAATTATCACAAATTTACAATAATATCATCTTTCAAAGAATTCTTAAGCAATCTTGAAGGTTTAATTCCCTGGCACTTGAAATATTACACATAAAAAAACTACGAAAGCTCAATTATTTTTTAAGTTTATCATTTCAACGGAAAGTAATGATGAATTTATAAAGGTTTTTCATATAATATTTTGCAATGAATAAGAAAACAATTTATTATAAATTAAACATGAGAGTAACAACAATTTTACTCAACATGTAATTATATAATATAGACGTTTAGTGTATCATACCTCTGATAAGATACTTTTAATAAGTGAGATGGATATTTTTCTATTATCTTTAAAATCATATCGAATAATGAAAAAAGAAAAAAAAAAATCCTAACGAAATTGAAAGTTTTGTGAATTGCGCAATAAAGTAACTTCTGATATTAATTTCAAATAGTTGATGATTATAAAAACAAAATCAGCACAGGAATTTCGTAATTTTATTAAAATACAATTGTTTGTATCATATACCAGAAAATTTATATTATCTATAAATTGTAAATTGTTTATATTATTCCAATTCTTGTTTTGCTTTTGCTATTTTTATTAGAAACTGTAGTTCAGTTCAGTTCAGAGTTCATGCAAATTTTCATTTTAATAAGTAATGCTCAGACCAATCATGATTTATTGTAGTTATGCTTTTCGTTTATTTTAATTGCTTCTGTTTTGAGAGCATTATGTTTGAATATTGTATTTTCATAGCAAAATGATCAATAACGAATATTCAATCTATTTCAAAAGTTACGTATGAATGTTTGACAGCTAAGCACAGATGGCGCTACAAGTTAGAATTCATCGTAAGACTTCCGGGTTACTACTTCCGATTTATTTTTACGCCAAAACTTCAAAAAGCGCACCATCCAATATTATTATAGTATTAATAGTCCTTACTATATTACGCGTTCTTATAATTTAATAGCGTTTAATTTGGTCCTTGGTGAATTAAATTTAGAATAAAAAAATTTTATTTATATTTTATGCATCAACATTTGTAAATTATGGAAGTAAAGCGAAGCTTTTAAGAATTTTTAAAATAATTGGGGGCAAAAAAGAGTAGGAAAAACTTAAACAATATCAGACGGTGAAATTTTGCACAGATATAGCCAAATAAGGGATAATGCTAAAAACATGGTAAACCTTACACTTTATTTATTTTTTGATTATAATTTTCTTACATTTGTTTTAGGCTCACAACCAGTTAAAATTTATAAATTACAGGAAACTCTTATGAATGGAAAAATTACGAGTAAATTTAATCACAAATTAAAATAATAAAGCTTCCTAAAATATTAAGCCTGTTCATACATCGCCTCTCAAACGTAACATAAGCCGAGGAATACACCGGAAGTTTTCTAAATTTCTTCTGATTTTAGGAAGCCTGTTATTTCTTACATTCAGTCAACCATTCATTAACTAGAACAGTTCCTAAAATACATAACCGTTACTGGACTGATGTCGTGTATTTAGCCGTTCGAGGCTATGTTTACTTAAAGGGAAATCGATTCACTTTGATTACTGACCACAAGCCCCTGGTTTCCATCTTTTCATGTAAAAAGGGTCTCCCAGTCCTTTCTGCGACAAGACTTTTGCATTATGCTCTTGTTCTGCAAGCTTATAATTTTGATATCGTTTATCGCAATACAAAGGACCACGGCAATGCTGACTGCTTATCACGTCTACCATTGAAATCTGAAGAACTGGAATTAAAAGATGATATTGCAGTATACCAAATTTCCCAAATTGAAACCTTACCCGTTACTGCCAAAGATTTAGCAAAAGCCACGCAGTTCGATGAACACTTGGGAAAACTTTTAAAAATATTACAATATGGAGGTCAATTAGAGGGGAAGGAAAAATATACCTTACAGGATGGGTGTATTATGTATGGGCAACGAGTGTGTATTCCAGACTGCTACAAAGCAAAAATACTAGACGAGTTGCATCATGGGCATCTTGGTGTAGTAAAAATGAAAGCAATTGCCAGATCTTACGTGTATTGGCAAGACATTGACCAAGACATAGAGAATTCTGCGAAAAACTGTTTGGACTGTGCTAGGTTCAAAACGGACCCAGCAAAAGCAAAAGTTCATCATTGGGAATATCCCAGTGCACCATGGGAAAGAGTGCACATTGATTTCGCAGGACCTATATTTGAACGGATGTTTCTACTTATTGTTGACGCACATTCAAAATGGCTTGAAGTTTACCCCATGAAGACAGCCAACTCATTCAAGACAATTGAATGCCTCCGAGATTGCTTTTCACGTTTTGGACTACCTGTAGTGTTAGTTTCCGACAACGGCACACAGTTTACTTCACAAGAGTTCCAAACATTTATACGAAGCAATGGCATTAAGCATAAGACATGCGCCCCTTTCAAACCATCCAGCAATGGACAAGCAGAGCGCTACGTGCATACATTAAAACAATCTCTCCGTGCCATGCAGAACTTTGCAGGAAATATCCAGCAAAAGGTTAGCACCTTCCTCATGCAATATCGCAAGGCTCCTAATATGACAACTATGATTAGTCCGGCTATGCTTTTCCTTAAGAGAGACATTAGGACTAGAATAGATCTTGTTCTCCCTGACTTGGTCGGAAGAGTCAATGAGAAGATCAGAAAAAGCACGTATGATTTTCAAGATCGTATTTTTCACGAAGGTGATAAGGTGGCTATTCGAGACTATCGTTCACCCAACGCAAGGTGGAAATTTGGAACAGTTATGAGCAAAGATGGAGCTCTTCATTACACAGTTAATGTGCAAGGTACATTGTATAGACGCCACGTAGACCAAATGCGACCAACAGGAGACCAGATCTTGGATAAGACTATTCACGTTCCACGAGTTAGTTTCAGCAGTGAGACCTCACACATCGGCACTACTGATAATTCTCCTGAATCCACTGATCCTGGCGGAGATATCCAAAACCACTCTGGATCCGGCAAATCAACACCAGAAACTCGCCAACCATCTCCAACTAAGAAACCGAGTTCAGCTGTTTTGCCGAGAAGTACTCCATCTTCAACTTCTCAACAAACTCCATTTCAGCCGAGGCGATCACAAAGGATTAGACGGCCCCCTAAGAGACTTGACCTTTAAATCTCCATTTTAAAGGGGGAGGAGATGTCGTGTATTTAGCCGTTCGAGGCTATGTTTACGAACTATCACGCCTACGCAATCGAATTGGGACTTTCCCTCTAAAAGTTTCAGTTTGTATTCCTCATCTGTTAGCGTTGCGTTAAGACGCATCTTTTGTATTCTAAATTCTAAATGTTGTAATTAATTAATAAATAGTGCTTGTTAGATATAAGAGTGTTATTTCCTAAAACCCCACGCTATGGGACAGCACAACTGATGTTTTACTTCCGGTTAAGAAGTATGCAGCTGCTTACAACCGCTTATTCTGCGAAGCGATATTTTCAAATAGAATAGATAATTTTGTTTTTAATGAATAGAAGAAATTATGTAATTTCTGAGCTCAAATCTGCTGTATTTCGTTAGATAACAATAATATTAATTAATTCTGGTGAGTTTGAAGTGGAAATTTGTTTTAGTCCTTTATAACTGTATTGTTAAAAAATTGACATGGTTGCTAGATTACTCGCTAGAGAGTATACTCACTTTTTTGCAATTTTTACTAATTTGGAATCTTTTTTCTTGTTTATTACTGTTTTTCTTGTAGCAAGGTGTGTACCATAGTGTTAGCATATTGTTCGAGCAGCGAGATTAAGTTTATTTTACAAATTATCATTTTGGTTTGAACTTAAATTATGATTTAGGATAGGTAAATTGTTGACGATGTAAGAAGTGTTTTATAACGATAATTTTTTTTTTTTCAATTTCTTACTTCTTGAAATGACAAGTCTTCAAATTACGATTCTATTTTTAAACATAAATAATAAATACACGTATACAGGAAATACAACTCAAGAGAGTCTCAAAATACAATGCTCACGTTGTGAGCCAAATGACTTCAAAATACACAGGAAACAGTAACCCGGAAATTTATGCAGTGAAAAGCTTGCATTGCACCCTAGTGTAGAAAGCACCAGCCAGTTAGCCCAGTTCATTATTACATTTACATATTCATTTATATAATCACTTAATAAAAATTTGCATTATAGTTTTTTTTTTTTTTTTTTTTTTGCAAATTATAATTTTTTTTCTTCTCAATTGATTGCGAATAACGATTGCGATTCATTGTTCATTGCAATTTTTTTTAAAAATTTTATTAGGAAAACAAATAAAAAAAATTTTATATGGTCACAAAGTTTCCAATTGATTTATTTTTATTCTCTTTCAATTGTTTATAATTAAAAAAAAATGTTTTATCTAAATAGAAAAAAAACATTTTTTTCGTAAAACCACGAATAATAATTATACAACTTGGGAAATAAAATTCATTTTGAAATTGGTTTCATGACCTTCGAAAAAGAAAAAAAAATTCAAAAAATTTTCTATTTAATCCACATATTTTGATAGATTTTCGACGTAATCAAGATGACTTTACATTACAAATACATGCGTAACAATATAGTAAGATGTAAATTATGTAAGATTAAAGATTACAACAAAAACAAACATAATTATTATACAATGGTTATGAAATATTATTAAGAAAATGATTGAAAACTGCAGTATTTTGTAATTTGATACGCATTTTGCTTTAATGTTGGAAATTTCATTCATTATTTGATATTTATTACTAATAAAAAGTTCACGTACGTTATTATTAAAATTTTCTGTGGTATGCAAAAACACGAAACCTTGGTAGTTTGTTTCTCCACTACTAAAATTGTAATAATCTTTCCTTAAAGTTTCTGCTTTCACGAAATTTATTAATTATCGGCTTTCACCATAGAGACTATAGGTACTTTTTTCTGTATTTTACGATGTAGTGAAAGGAATCAGGCAACCTAAAAATCAACTTTTCTCAGGTTCACACCCCTCAAAAATAATATATAAAAAAATTGTCTGCATTATGCTTGATTTAAAGATATAGCTCAAATTGCTAACTTTTAAACATTTCATTTTTTGAATGAAATTTTTTTTCTTTTGAAAATGAATAACGAAAATTTGCAGCTTTTTTTTAATATATACACTACCGGTCAAAAGTTTGCGAAAATTTTGAAATCTACAAAAAAAAGGTCTAAATTCAAATGTTCATAGAACTACGAAAAATCATTCAAAATGCATGAAAATTTGATATGTTCTAAAGTGAACCTTCTACAGTTAGTTGCATATGATCAAATTGCAATACTTCGTTTTTTGCGAACTGAATCCAGCTTTTCATCATGGGTTGTTTCTATGGTGAAAAAAGTTGTTAAGTTAGAACGCTTGCCAAACTTGCAAAAAAATTTTTTTGCACTTTCTGCTGATAGAAAATAGATATTTGAACCGTTCTATGTGAGTCCTCAAAATTTCAGATCGATTTGATTTTTTTTGACGAAGTTATAGAATTTTGAAAAACATGTGTACTATTCTCGATTTTTGAGCACTCCACATATGCGGTCTTTTGGTCCATACATCTTCTACCAAAGAACTTTTTAATTTTAACGTTTTCTATATTTTCAAATAATTAATATTGGTTATAAAACAAATATTCTTATTCATTATTGTAATTATTGTTATTAAAAAGAATTTATTATGAATATGATTAAAACAATGTCTCATAGATGTCACATTTCATCGAAAATTTGTTTGTTCTTGCAAACGATGCTCTGATATTTCGAATAGAAATCAGTTATGGGACATTTTACAACAGGAATGGAACTCTATATCACTTAAAGTGATTAATGGTTTGTTAGAACGAATGCCACGCATATGTAAGGCAATAATAAAAGTAAAAGGTGGATGGTTCGAGGAATCTAAGATTTAAATGTTAATTTATTTAATTACAAAATACGAATAAGAATATGTTAAATATTTGACCTGTTGTAAATAAAATAGTT